CCCGCCCGAACCAGGCTGCCCAGATGCGGGCGCCACTCTGCCTGCTGCTGCTGGTCGCCCACGCCGTGGACATGCTGGCCCTGAACCGAAGGAAGAAACAAGGTACACGGCCGGCAGGGGCAGGGTGGTGGGAGGCGCACAGAGTTCCCCCAGAGTCGCGGGCTGGGGAGGGCCCCTGCTTCAGCCCAGATTCTGCCCAGTAGCCCCTGCTTCAGCTCAGAGTCTGGGACCTCCTGGTCCAGTAGGTCCTCCAGATCCGGCATCAATCCCACTTGACAGATGGGGAGACGGAGGCCTTGGGGCATCAGGAGCTGGATCTAGGGGGCACACTTGCTAGTCCCCTCTCCGACAGGAACAGCATTGCCGAGAAAGGTGTGACTGCGCAGAAAGCGAAGCCTGACGTCACCGAAACTAAGGGACAGAGTTAGGGGCTCGGAAGCCATTCTAAACATCCATGCTCAGGGAGGAGGTGACATAAAGACCCTGGTCTGATGCCGGTGCATGGTGGCCCCTGGGAGAAGGCGGTGGTTGGTGGGTCCCTTTGGTGAGGGACTGCGACCAGAGCCCACGTCCACCAGAGATGGCCGGGAAGAGGCCCAGTGCCCCTAGACCCCCAGTGTTTCCACCTTAACTCCCAGGACCTCTGCAAAGGCCAACCCAGTGGTGGCTGATAAACATGCCCAGGTGCTTTGCCAAGAGCCCCTTCGGGTCTCTCCCTTCTGGGGACTTCCAGGGTGGGTTTGGGGCTCTCCTTGCTGAGTGGGAGTTGTCTGTGGGGTCTCCTGCCGGAACCCAGCAGCCCCTTTGCTTCCAGCGTCCAGTCTAATGTGTCTCCACAACCAGGGCTCTCCAGTCCCACCTCCTTGAGTCCCCTCTGTATGCTCATGATGAAGGCTCCTCCGTTTCATAAAGCCAAGGTGGTGAGACTCAGAGCGATTCTATACCAGCTGAGGTTAGGCAGCAGGCAAGTGGAGGACCCAGCACCTTCCCAAGCTCTGGTGTTGGACTGGAGGGAGGACGGCCAGCCCTCGGGGACCTGCAGTCCACTGAAGGGGAAAGCCCCACACAGACAGTCAACCTTGGGAGTGGCGTATCCAGCAATGAGAGGCTCGTGAGATACTCTCAAGATGGGACTCCATGGAGGCAGCAGGTCTATGACGCAGGGGGCCCACACTGGATAACTGGACATAGGGGCCGGGGCACTGGAGATGTGCATGGGTTTCTGTTGAGTTGGGGAGAGCTGGGACTCCTTGGGGGGCACTCCTTTGTGAATGCGTAAGAGCCTGGACTCCAGAGCCAGCCAGCCTGGGTTCAAAGCTCAACGTCCCTGCTTACCAGCTGTGGGACCATGAGGAAGCCACTTTGCCTCTCTAAAGATCGTTGATCCCTGAGGGTCCTTCAGAAGATCCCTAAGATCCTTCTAAACTCTAAACAGAATTTTTTTAAAAAGAATCACAATTTTCTCATGGACTAATTTTTCAAAGGGGAATAGTCATCTTCAATTCCCAATTCATGGGGCAGGTCGCAGTGAAGATGACATGCGTGTCTGTGTATGAAATGGTCAGCAGAGTGAGCTCTCGGGAGTGGCAGTCTTTCTAATTGTCCAGTCATTGTGTCCTTGGCTGTGCTCAGCAGCCTAGTTGGGGAGAGCTGCTCATGTCCCGTTTCACAGATGCGGAAACTGAGCCCCAAGTGAGGGCCAAGGTTGCACAGCAGGTGGGTAGTACAACAGGCGTCGGCCTCCATTCGTCTGGCGCGGCCCTGAGTTGTCTGCCAAGCTGTGTTGTCCTTCGCTGCTCAGAACCTCAGTTTCCCCATCTGCAAAGGAGCTGGCATAGCAGATTTTTGAGCTCCTTCTCAGTTATAAAGTAGGAAGAAGAAGAAACAGTGGCACTGGGTTGAGTGCAGGAGGAAGCAGAAACCGGGAACGTTGGGGGAGGGAAACGTTGGGGGGGGGGTCCTGTATAGCCTTTCCTGTTTGCCTGTGTGTATGATAGAAGAAGAAGGAGAGAAAGAATATCAGGGAGAGGAAGGGAAGGAACGATTCCAACCCCTGGTACCTTCCCCAACTCACCACCGCCTCCCCAGCAGTGGAGAGAGGCAGTTGGGAGCTGACTCCTTACACTCGTCCAGTCTGGGGCGGTGCTCTTGGGTCTCTTTCCTCAATAGTCTTTGAGAACACACAACTGCCCGGCATCTTCAGAGAGAGGGTTGCAACCTGATTTATCAGTGGGGTGCAATGGGGATAGTCTGGAACTGGGGTACCCCAGTTTGGGATTTCAGTCCCGCTCTCCATCCCATTGTGCTAGATGATCTTTGGTGAGTGAGTCTCCCACCAGACCCAACCTCCCTGGCCTCTGTGTCTCTATTGGCCCTGGACTGGGGGGACTAGAATCCCCCTTCTTCCCCCCCCCCCCAATAGTTTTATTGACATATAATCCACCTCGCATACAATCCAATAGTTCATAGATTAACCCTTCTACATGGCATACATAGGCATCGGTCAAATAGGTTTGGGAAATGCTGACTTAGGCAGATTTCTTGATGGATGGATTCCACTGTCGGGACCGCGTGTGTGGCTTTTCCCAAACTTACTACATACCAGAGACCATTTTCCAAGAAGCATCTGCTTGGAGAATCTGGCATGGGATCCCTAAGCGTCTGGCCAGCAAAGACTTTCAGGACTAACTTCGGGAGAAGCCAGCACTGGATATTGGTGGCACGTCATTCATTCTTTACTCCATAAGGGCAACAACCTCTGCTTTGGGGACCTTTGGGACACTGAGCAGCTGCCATCCTGGAGGGGTGACTCCTCCCTCCTCTTCCTTAGCCTACCCGCCATGCCAAGTCCTTGGCCTCAGTCTCCCATCTAGTCTGAAAGGCCGGGAGGATTGGCTCTGCCTCCCCACCCCGAACCCAACCATTACCCTCGGGACCTCGCTTCTGTAGACCCATGCTTCCTCAGGCTTCGGCGTCAGTGTTGGGTTTTTTTTTGTTTTTTGATGAAACCTAATTTTACTGTTTCTAAGCCAAAAAGGAATGAGAGAAAAGGCTTGGATCTGAAGTGTCTCTTACAAAACAACAAGTTGATTAATTAAGTATAAATGAATTCAAACCAGATGGAGACATTTCTCTTGAAGTATGCTTGGGTGTCCTGGTGGAGAGAAAGTCGGGCAGGATAAGGGGGTCTGGTCTGTGTGGCCCACCCTGGGATCGGGAGGTTCATTTGGGCAGTGTGGAGAAATCAAACCTGGACTGACTTCGGGGACTTTCAGACCTCAACGGGGAGGGAGCTGGGTAGAGGCAAGGATCTCCCACATTTGCATGCTGCTTTTTAGGTCCCTCTAGATCTGAAGGGTCCATGATGGCAAATGCTTAGGTGCTAACCCATAGGATGGGGGTTTGAACCCATTGGTGGCTGAAAGACCTGGTAATCTACTGCCATAAATAGTACAGGTGAGAACACTCTGCTGTGAGGTTCTACTCTGTCATGTGGGTCTCGGTGACTTAGAATAGACTCAGTGACACAGCAGTAACACATCCGAGGCCGCAAGGGGCAGAGAGGAGGAGCTTAGGGATTTAGGGAACCCCGGGCCCAGAATTTGTTGCTCTTCTGTCCTAGATGTGTGACTTGGCCTAGTGATATGTAGCATGTCTGTGCTACCTTCTAGTTTTGTGATGCCTGGGGTCTTAAAAGTTTGCAAGCCAACCCAAAGCATAACAATTGGTCTCTGTTGCTTGAAGCCGCAGAGGAGGAGTGAGAGTCTGGAATAGGAAGAGCCATCGGAAGGGGTGGTTCATTGCCTCCATGAACACCTGCCTCCTTTGTCATGAGACCAACATCGCTAGATGGTGCCCGGCTCCCCTTACTAAAGATTCTGACCAACGACGCTCTATAAGGATCGGGATCAAAAGGGGGGGGGGGGTAAAGGCAGGGCAGAACTTCAGGTTCTCATAGGCTCCAAATTTTCTGGACTCATAGAGTTCAGGGATGGAACCCTGAAACTCTTGCCCTCAGATAAGATTTGAACCTTAAACTAAAATTATCCCCTGATTTTTTTTTTCATAAAACCAAATATTTTAGCTTATCTAGTAAAAAATGTCTGCCTTGAACATTAGAAGCAAGGATGGTGAGACTTGGTCTCACCTACTTTGAGCAGGTTATCCGAAGGGGTCCATCTCCAGAAAAGGACTTTGTGGTGCTTGACTTAGAATAGATTCATCGAAAAAGAGGAATCCTTGAATGAGATGGACTGACACAGTGGCGGCAACAATGGGATTACACATAGCAACTGTGAGGACGGCGCAGGACCGAGGAGCATCCTGTTGTGTTGTGCATAGGGGCTCACGAGTCAGAACCCACTGAGCCGCACAACAACCTCGTCTATACGTGAGATCACATTGACCACAGCAACTCCAAAGATGAGAGGAACCTTGGGGCACAGGGAGTTTGAGCTAATGGGGGAGGGACACCTCAGCAAAGGTGGGGGGGATGATTGCACAACTCCAGGAACGCACGTGGCCCCTGAGTTGGTGTTACGTTTTTGCTATGCAGAGTCTCAAAACAAATACGTCTAAAAAAAATGCATACTCTTTCTCCTCAGTTCATGGCAGAATCATTCAGATGCTCCCTGAACTAGGGATGGGGGGGGGTGGGGTGTATCTCCTATGGGCTTATACCTCACCTCTGCCTCTCTCTTGCTGTGTGGCCCTAGGTTAACATCTTCCCCTCTTTGAGCTGCCTTTTCTCTCCCTGTAAAATGAGGGTGGCAGCACTGACTCCTGAGGCGTATCATGTATGCGTATAAGTCTTTGTAAGTGGGAAAGCACGGCCGTGTCGCTGGGCCCTGTACGTAGATGGAGGAGCTGAGGCCAGGACAAGGCAGGTGGCTGAAGGCAGGGGCAGAGAGGGCCTGGGTGTCTTGTCTCCAGGTTGGGACTTGGCTGGGCACAGGGCAAAATGCATCACCCTAAACACTAGAGTCTGAGGGCACCAGGTGAAGATGCGTGTCAGGGGCAGCTCTGGATGGGAGCAAAGGCGAAGCACACCCCTCAAAGGCAGCATGAGCGGTGATAACAGGGCGCTGGGGATTGAGGAAGTC